TATAATAACAAAAGATCTGTTATTAAAAGACAGTTATAGTGTATGCATGCAAAGCTAGAAATAAGGTTTTAGATGCCAAAATATGAAATAATAATTTTAGCAATTTTGCATCTTGAAAGTCTTTATTTTATTTGAATGGAAAAATACAAGGAAATGTGGATACCACCAGTACCTACAGATGCACAAATTTCAGAAGATAGCAGAAATCATAGAATCATAGAATGTTTTGGGTTGGAAGGGACCCCTAGAGGTCATCTAGTCCAACCCCCCTGCAGTGAGCAGGGACACCGCTAACTAGATCAGGTTGCTCAGAGCCCTGTCCGACCTGGCCTTGAATGCTTCCAGGGATGGGGCCTCCACCACCTCTCTGGGCAACCTGTTCCAGTGTTTCACCACCCTCATTGTAAAGAACATCTTCCTTATATCTAGTCTAAACCTACCCTGCTTCAGTTTAAAACCATTACCCCTTGTCCTGTCACAGCTGGCCCTACTAAAAAGATTTTCCCCATCTTTCCTATAGGCCCCCTTTAGGTATTGAAAGGCTGTCATCAGGTCTCCCCGCAGCCTTCTCTTCTCCAGGCTGAACAAGCCCAACTCTCTCAGCCTGGCCTCATAGGAGAGGTGCTCCAGCCCCCGGATCATTTTTGTGGCCTTCCTCTGGACCCGCTCCAACACTTCCATGTCCTTCTTGTTCTGAGGGCTCCAGAGCTGGTCGCAGTACTCTAGGTGAGGTCTCACCAGAGCAGAGTAGAGGGGCAGAATCACCTCCCTCTCCCTGCTGGCCACGCTTCTCCTGATGCAGCCCAGAGTACCGTTGGCCTTCTGGTCTGCCAGCGCACAGTGCCAGCTCATGTCCAGCTTTTCATCCACCAGCACCCCCAAGTCCCTCTCGGCAGGGCTGCTCTCGATCCTTTCTTCCCCCAGCCTGTACTGATACTGGGGGTTACCCCGACCCAGGTGCAGGACCTTGCACTTGGCCTTGTTGAACCTCATGAGGTTCACACAGGCCCACCTCTCCAGCCTGTCCAGGTCTCTCTGGATGACAACCAGTCAGATTATAAAATAGGACAGGAAGTAGTTTCATACTCACAGTTCTTTAAAATTATAAAATAAGTGTGAGGCATGTCAGCAGTGAGCTAATGCCAGTGCTTCGCCCCAAGGGCTCACTTATAGTTGCAATTTATTTTTTTTAAGCAACCCCAACTATGCTAATTGATTTAAATTAATTCTCTATATGGACATTAGGTAGAGCCCCAATCGTTGACTTCCTCTCTCGATCACAAGAAATTTAGCATATAAATAACTTTTCAAATTGCAGGGTAGTCTTCTGGGGCATGTGTGCATGCAGTGAGATCTTACAAATCCTTTAATGATCATTCATAAACCTAACAAAATGAGCTCTACGTTCATATGGCTACAAAAATCAGTTACCAAACATTACAGGAATGATTGATTATTTTTTCCTCCCATACCAATTTTCTGTAATAAATCAATAATGAAGTCTCAAAGCAGCTTAAATGTAATTAACAATTGTTTTAAGAGCATTACTTTCCAAACTTGTTATAGAAGCAATAAGTCTGAAGGATACAATCAGGACCCAAACTTTCCTTTCTGTTTGTTTGCTTATATTCCTCTGCATTGTTTACATACATTGGCTTTCATTGGCTACACTTTTTAAATAGGTAAGCCTTGAAAATTTCACAACAATAGCAGATCATGCCTTGCAAACACTGAATAATGTTCAAATGGATTTATTAACACAGCATAAAACTGTGGTCTCTAAACCCTGAATTGTGGAGGTTTTTGAGAGACCCTCAGACCTTCCTCGGGGTCACAGAAAATTGTTGTCACTATAGCAGTCACAGGAAGCTATTGCTGCTATGATTCAGGTTGATGCAGGGAGAAACACATGATATTTCCTGTAATACACTATTTTTCAATGCTGTTGCTGAAAAGCCAGCAAAGACTGGAGCTATTGGATGTATATAAACCACAACCCCTTCAATGTGAGGAGTCAAAGTCTTAGCAAGGTTGTTAGAACTTCAAATTGTAAACCTCCAATCTAAAATTCTTATGCCCTTGTCTAGATATTAGGAAAAATATCTACTATCCTACCGAGACACTGTAACTGCTCCCTATAAATCCACACACTCATTTAGACCTTTCATATGCTTACACTAAAACAGATCCATTGCAGCATGAACAGGCAGAGTGAATTTATACATATCCAGCTAGCTTGGATACCAATAACACCACAAATTCCAGCTAGTAGGCAATTACCAGCGTGCAGCCCATTCTGGAAACTGCTATCACAGTTTCACTGTTATTGGTAGCTAAATTAGCTTCAAGGAAGTTGAGTATTTGTAGATATGCTGCAATCGTGCACTTCGGCTTCACTGCAACCCTGATTGTACTCCGTTATGCATGTTGTTCCATTACAACCTTGCATTTTGTGTTGGCTCTTCCATGGTAGTGCACTTTTACGGAACTTGATGCCCAGAGAACGATGTTACCACTATACATCATCTTAAACTATACACAGCCTAACCCATGCACTTATTAGTTTAAACACACAATGCTGTGACTATTCACATACTTCAAGATTTTCTGTTGAGTTAGGTCAGTGCAATAACACATTTTGGTCATGACAGAACAGATCAGTATCACTAATACTGAACTGCACAGGCCTTTAAACAGTTAAGTCTGCCAGACCTGATCTTTATCGTGTCCCAGCTTACACATACAGAAACAATTCTTTCACCTGTGTATACCCATGCATACAGATACAATCATATCTACTTCTTACAGGCATCATGCAACCACATCCCATCCGTTCACTCACTCAACCCAAACTTACTACTTCTCCAGCTACCCAGCCTGCCAATATGCTGTTAATACATCTTCATAGAGCTTTGCATTCTTCCTGCCTTCAAATTCATGATTTTATTCCCTCCAATTGTATCCATTCCTCACTCAAACTCATAGTTTCTTCTTTCTACTTCTGTCCTTTCTGCCACTTGCTGAACACATGAAGACTTGTTTTAATCACAGAAGGTGTGTTAGTGCAATTTGTTTCATTAACTTCATTCATCTTATTTTGGCAGTTTCTAAAGGTTCCAGGATGGAAACAAGGCCCCAGTTATGCCAACCACTATGCAAACCAGTCACAGAAAGACAAACCCTATCCTAAAGAGATTACAGGCTAGATTTAAAATAAACAGAAGTTAAATGGTGATCAAAGGAATTTGGGATGGAAAAAAAATTACACAGCAAACACCTTTTTGTTAAACTTGCAGCTTCCATCCTGCAACTACATGCCTACTGTTAGTAAAACTTAATTTCAGGGTTACCTGTGGTATCCTATTTCTGTTGGCCATTAGAATGATATATACATGTCCTTATTTACCTCTTTTTAAAAGCACATATCGCACCTTTCAACATGCAAAAGATACTGCAAAAGAGGTGTTTACATTATATTTTAAGATCCCCTAGTAGTTTAAAGGTCAAGCACGTAATCTCCTCTGTTACTGCAATGAAACAATTCAGAGCGTTTCAAGCCATACACCCAGATTTGCTTCCTATACTTAGCATAAGGATTGCTGGGGACTCCAGTAGGTGTAAAAGATGACAGTTAGCATTTTAATGGTAAATGTCTGCCATAAGCAACACCTGCTGAAAAACAAGGTAGATTTCAATTTTGCAAGAGGACATCCTCCCTTTTAAGCCCATCCCCTACCTAAGTCTGAACTTAGCATAATAAAAAGCCTGCTGGGCTGAGCTATTGGATCTTAATGTCCCATCAGCTCAAGGGCTGAGTATTCTCTTTGTATTAGTTGGTAATTTCTTGTAGGCCAAGAATTTACTGCCGTCCTTCTATGCCATGGCACAGCAGCACCAGAGAAATGAACTGTGGCTAACTGAACTGACTGGCTAGCACAATTAAAATTGCCAACCATACAAAGTATCTACATGAGCCATGCTGTTTTATAGTAAGGACCATGACAGTTCTGGCCTCCCCTGTGTGAAAGCTGCCTGGCAGCTTTGCTTTTGCAAACTTGTATCTGAGTGCAAGGGTTTGTGTTTGTAAGCTCTTGAAATACAGTACCTCGTCTCCTCAATAGAAAATAAAAAACAATTTAAAAACCCAGAATTGAATAGATCACAATACACATCCCTGTAACCTGCCAGCCCTTCTAGTTAATGTGATGCCCTTTCCTCACAATATTAGTCTTGGGATGTACAAATAGATTACTACTAGTGTAAGACAGTAATCAGGAAAACAGCATTCAGAGAGATGATCATACCTCTAACATGCAGAACAGTCCCATGCATGCAGCGTATGGTTTGTCTGCTGTCGAAATACAGTTGGAGTACCTCCAAGCAGAGTGAAATTCTTTGCGTAGGAGAGCAATGTAAAAACAGTTCTGCTGTTACATATGAGCTGCCTTCACTAATATGTGTCTTTAGTCTGTCCTAGGACTCATCTTAATAAGGTAAAAAGTTTCTGGGAAACAAATCTTAATTTTCTACAGGTCATATGTTGTCATAATTGCAGATAACAAAAATAATGAGAGGAAAGGACAGCAGAGTCCTCCTTCCACTCCTACAACCATTTCTTTTATACCAGGCTTGGCTTCAAGATGAGAACCCCTTACAAACCATTTGCAACTTCCGTGGACCTTCCATAACCACTATCACATTCTCCTTGGCAGACATACAGAAAAACCTGAAATCTCAGATCTGAATTAAAACCAGAACCCTTGCATGGGGATAGCTTTGAAATGAAGGTAGCTCAGTAACAACACAAATCTTCACATTATTCTCCAGAATTCTGGCAAAGAACATATTCAGCCTCAGGGGCACCTAGACAGTTGCCATCTTTCAAAGCATTATGGCCTCAGGGTATGGAATACAGATCTTCTACAAATATGGTCTAACAAAATTGTTTCAAAATGATTTAGGAAGTAATAGTAATGGTAGGTAGTTTTGGAAAAGCTTACCAAATCTGACTTCTTTTAAGCCATAGATCATATGCTGAATCCATCTGCTGTTTCTCTGTGATACAGACTGACAAAGCTGCAAGCCTGGCTGGAAAAAAAAAAAATCCGTAATTGAGTATCTACTACTCCTTCCCCCAATAAACACATTCTATTCTACCCACCCACACTACCAAGCCATTGATTTAACAGATATGGTGGTAAAACATACTAAATTTATTAAGCAAGCAGTTTTATCTTTAGCAAATACTTTTAACTATATTTCTAATGTATTTGTCTCCAGAAATGCGTCTAGCTGTTCTTCCCAATGTTCCCATATGTCCCTTCCACACTTTGCACCACTAATAATGCAAACATCATATTCGCCATGCAAAGTAAACCACTATCAGATACAAAAGGAAGTCTTTATGACTGTTACATAAGTCGAACCACTATGATCAGGACAACAGAGTAGGTTAATCATGCCTTTATTACTTACTAAAATCCTATAATTAGCAGCTTGCAAGATCATATTTTACTTGCATACAGTTACACATAGCTTTTTTGCTGTTATAGAAGGCATTTATTTCATATCCTCATTCATTATTACTAAAAAAAATTCTTTGCATTATACTGTGGTCCTTTACATATAACTCACTTTTCCTACAATGAAGAGAAAAAAAGGAGAGCATAGTAGCAGGCCTTAAATCTGATCAAGGATATTTTTTTTTCATACCTCTTGCAAAAAATTTCATTAGTTCTTCATGCCTGTTATTTATAAGTTTTTTACCTGACAACCCAGGGTGTAGCTCTGTTTCTGTTGTAAGCATATGGTTGGTGGCAACTTTGAAGTCTGCCAATAAAAGTCACTCGCATGAAAGGAATACTTCATTGTTAAAGAAAAACTTGTAGATTTGACTTGTTACTTTTCAGAAAATTTAATTTGGTGCTGAATGATACATCTCTCATAATAGCAGCAGTAAGAATAAAACTGTTCATGCTTTAAGATCACTTTTGTCTGTCTCCAGTTGCTCCTGCTTTTCTTTCTCAACCATCCTTCCTTCTAATGAATCCCTCCTTTCTACAAAGGACTCAGCTTCCCAAAATGTAAAATAATGCATATAACAGACTAAAACCTTGCTTTTAAAATTAATTTTTGTTTAGGAAATAATAAAAAATTTCCTACCTGAGGGGAAAAAAATGCCCGTACGGTAGCAACTATTGATCCCACAGGAAGAAAAATAACGGATTGAGAACATCTTAAGGGAAAACGTTAACTTTTTTCCTCCCCTTTTCAACACTGTGCTTTTCACCTTTAGCCGCTGTACCTAATTCATACTACTTCATCATTTAGGGTGTCGATTTACTTTACAAGACACCAGGCCCTCTGCCTTCCTCATATTTGCCCTCTCCCCAGCCACCCGCCCGCTCACTACACTTTTTTTCACTCACCCCCCTCCCCTCAGTGCGGGCCCCGCTCGCCCCCGCGGCACGGGGACAGGTAGCG